GTCTAACTGCTTTCAAAATTTTCTCTTTCATCTTAACTTTAGTGAAGTTAATTATGATGTGTCTAGGGGAAGTCTTGTTTGGGTTGAGTCGTGCTGGAGTTCTGAAGCTATCTGCTATCTGAATTTCAGAATCTCTTGGCATGTCTGGAAAGTTCTCTTTCATAATTTCATGAAGAAGAGCCTATATTACGTTTCCATGTTTTTCTGCAATGCACTATATATGTTTAACTTACCTAAACTGATATCTTCCTTTACTTCTTCTCAATAATTAGCTAAATAATCCTCATACTGATGAAAATATGAAGAGAATATTATTCCCATTTGCTAATGCTTCTTATTTGCAATTGATTCCTATATATGTGTATATATATATATCATAAAATAAAGCAATATGGTTAAATATTTATTGATCTCTAAAAATTATAAGCAGAATTCAGTTTTAAAGTAAATAATACAGATTGTTAAAAATAGGAAACATTTTAGATTAGCTAAATAAATTATAGATGAATAATGAAATATGTGAACATGAGTGGAATTTTTGAATAGTAATGATTAAAAAAACATGATGTATGTATTTAAGTACTTTACAGTATACTCCAAAATTTAAAATTCTACATATACATGCATCTGTTAGTATTATTTTGTATATGTGTATTAAATGTATTCCTTTTAAAATTACAATTTTTGATAAATTCATGTCAGAATACATTTAAAACAATAGTGTTTGTATCATGGTTGTGGTTAAAAAAACATTAAATTTAATTGGGTGTTATAATTCTCCTTTTAAATCCTTACAGAAATAAAAGAACGTTTTGTCCTCTCAAGTGGTTCTTGGTTAAATTAATATACTACCAATCTCATATTGTGACTGGAAAAATAGGAGATTTTATAAAAATGCCTTTAATAATTGGGCTTAATATTGTAAATATTTGTTTTAATTTTTCTGATGATTCAAAAATAACTACACATTTAAATTCAATTACTTGCAGATATTTTGAGCTATTTTTTTTTAAATTTTAAACAGAAACTCTGGTCTACATCTTCAAATCCCTACGGCAAGACTTCTTGACGGTGAAGAAATTTATCCTTTTTCTATGAAGTTCCCAAAAGGGAAAATTATCACAGGCGCTCACAGTGGAGTTAACGATATGATTCCTTGCCGATTAAGTTTTAGTTCTTCTAAACCTGTGTCATTTTTCACCAATCTTCTTTTTTGTGATGACAGAAGTAACTGGTAAGATATTTAAACATAGATTCCTTTGTATCTGACATTGAAGAATGATAGGTTTATATTTTGCATCATTTTAAAATGTTAAAAGGAGAGAGAGATATGTAATGTAATGACTTTGGTCATAAGGTTTTTTTTTTTTTTTTTTTAAGTTTCAAATGCAAGTTTGCTGTCACAAGAAACAGCATAACAGTGATTGCCAGCATATACTAGTCTGGAGTATTGCTGGCTAAGGTCAAATCCCAGCTTTGATATCTGTACTTCTGAGCCTCTCACTTTCCTGTCTTTAAGATGGAAATAAAGCAGAAGCTGTTCTAATTGTTATGAGCAGTTCAAGGAGTTCATTATTATGGAGTGACTGGATAGGAACTAACCAAAGGAAATGCTGAATAAGTATTAATTTGAAGTTCATCTATGTAGTGATTTCCCAATAACATGGTTTTGCTATTCGTTGCTTTAACACAGTCAGGGAAATTCAGATGCATCTTGGTGAATCCATGTTTCTGGATGTCTTACCTTGTAGGACCAGAAATCCCATTTTTATAATAATCTCTGAAATGATTTGACTAACCAAATGACAAGAGGCTAAAGTGTAGTGCTATAAAGTTTGTTAAAAAGGTTTACAATGAGAAGTAACATTAGAGTGAATTGTGTACCAGATTGGTGGCCGTGTATGTTCTCTATGTGCTTGTTTATTAACTTTTAGTTGGACTATTATTATTTTGTGTATTTGTCATTAAAACTTGATTTATATATTTGGAATTAGAAAAGAAGGAGATAGTCCAAGAATGTTACATTGAAAGCAAAGTGTCACCATATTTAGCACAGAGTGCAAAAACTTAATGACACTGCTTTAGGCTGCTTTCAAGAACTGAACTCCATGCCTCTGTCCCGAAAGGCATTCTACCTTTTTCTACATTATTGACCTTGTTCACAAAAGTTGAATTGTATTTCACTTCACTAAACAAATTCACACTTTGCCCAAAGAATTGCCTGGTGTGCATCTTTGAGGTCACCAATAAAGGACTGACGTAGGCTCAGACTACATTTACAAAGTGAGAAAAGAAATATTATACTTTCACTAAATACTTTGTGAACTAAATGGCTTGGGGCTAGAGGTACAATTGCCACTAGGAAGACATGGGCAGACTTCATTGTGCCAATGTGATGAAGTTTGGTCAGCAAACAGAATGATAAGAAGACTTGAAAATATTCTTTAGAGGGAGTAAAGATGATGCATTTCATGGTTTTCTTTTTTGTTTTGTGTGTGTGTATACATGTGCACATGTGTACATTTTCCAGCCTTGACAGTTGTTTGCTCTTGCCTGGAAATCCTCACCTTTTTTCTAAAAATTTTCTTAATATCTTATCTTCCACAAAACTTCATTTCAACTCTCAGTTGGTTTGTGATACAGCAGAGCCACTGCAGCTAATTTAGAAACTTTACAGGCAGCAAAAGGCTTTTCCATGAACCTAGATAAACAAGGAACCAAGATCATGAGCATTCCCCAGAATCTTTATAGTGGCAAATCCTTTTTTGGCAAATCCTTTTACTGGGAGCTTGTTAACTCCTTATCTAGTTTCCCATTATGAATATTAGGAGATCCTCCTCCTCTTCACAACTCTCCAAGACTGTCCTTGTCCTTGCCTTTCTTTCTGTAGGCATTCCATTTCTGATCTCATTGAGATAAATAAGCTCTTCCAGCAAGAAATTCCTCAAGGGCTTATCTTTCACTTCAGAATTTCTATTAAATAAATTGGACTCATTTATTGTTTTTCATCTTTTAGCTTATATCTATTGTAGGCAATCTATGTGTACTTTGCCTAAGATTTTGGACAAGCCCAGGGCCGTTCCCTGATGGAGGTCAGTGTAGTAAGATGTTTGCCTTACATAAAAAATCCTTAGCAAAAAAATAATGACTGTACTTAAAAATTCGAAGGCCTATAATGGATTGTAGATTTCATTCTGTGTTGCTGTGGAGCAGAACTTCTAAGCTTACAGCTCTCTAGACATGAAAGGGGCTGTTGCTGAGTTTTGAGTGTTGCTGAGTTATGGTAGTGTCTTCATAGTAATGTCATCCAGGTGTAGATATTATTTGCCAAGGATTTTATAGAAGAATATGAGTAAATTACCCTCAACTGCAAAATTTCCTAAATCTGTGTTTTTGAACCAGCACAGTTACAGGATATATTCTAGAACACACTTGACAGTGAAATTTGCAATCTCTCTTAAAATTTTTTTTTTTTTTTTTTTTTTTGAGACAGAGCCTCAAGCTGTCCCCCTGGGTAGAGTGCCATGGCATTACAGCTCACAGCAACCTCCAACTCCTGGGCTCAAGCGAGTCTCCTGCCTCTGCCTCCCAAGTAGCTGGGACCACAGGCGCCCGCCACAACGCCCGGCTATTTTTTTTGGTTGCAGCCGTCATTGCTGTTTTGGCGGGTCCGGGCTGGGGATTCGAACCCGCCACCTTAGGTGTACATGGCTGGCGCCCTAGCCGGTTGAGCTATAGGCGCCGAGCCTCTTAAAATTTTTAAAAGTAAATATTTTAAAACCATTAGGACAGAAAGTAGACTAACAAACTAAGTTAAATGAAAAAAATGATGAATAATTCATTTCTTCATCATTAAAGCCATCTGGGATACTTAAAAATTTTCATTCCACTTATTGCATCTGGAAATAGTATTTTATTAAAATATAATGTTTTCACTTTTAGGTTTTCACTTCCAGTTACTGCCACGGCAGAAAACTGTCTCCTTACTATTTACCCATATATGGCAATTCATCTGGATGACTATAAAATTACTTTAAACAATGGTAAGTTACATACGGCTGATTTCTCTCTAACTCTCACTGTACAGGTTCTTTTTATGCAAGGCTAACATCTATAAATAAAGTGAATTTAAAATTAACAGACTTCTGTTAAACACCAGCCATTGCCAAAAGCTCCATGAATCATTGAAAGTACTATATGACAGTGTCTCTTAAGTTCAAAAGTTGACAACCTAGTGGAAGACAAATAAATTGATACAAAGAAAACTGACTTAAGAGCGGTATATGAGTTAGCTGAAGTGTTGAGCATATAGGGGTGTAGCAGGTATTAATGCTGATGTTGGGGATGTGTAATGGTTATACAGAAGAGATGACATATCTGTGTGAAGCTTGAAAAGTGATGATCTTGAACAGGTTGAATTGGGAAAAGGGAAGTATAATAGTTTGAGAGTATGGTGAAAGACATGAGGCAGAAAATCTAAGTACAGAACCACACTGCTAAGTCTTTTAATCTGTACTAGTGAGAACCTTCTATGGGTTTTGAGTTTCAGTGATTTAGAAAGGGAGCAGTTGTCTGCAGAGTTAGAATTAAAGTGGGACAAAGAGTGGTCAGTTGACCAGCTGGGAATTGCTGCATGAGAAATTGTGAGATAAACTAAGAACAGTCATCCTCTATGAAGTCTGTTAGTGATATAGCATTCTGGGAATACGCACACCTGTTGGGTAAAGATTTTCTGGCAAATTCTGAATCACTTTGTACTGAAAGAATAGAGAAACTTTGCATATTCTGCTTATTTATATTTGTTATTTCCTTTAAAGAAATCCTTACCATAAACTCATGAGCCCAGAAACATTGATTTAATTTTATAGATAAACAGTGTTTCAGATAATTTGTGTAATATACCCATAGTTTACCTTGTCAGGAGTGGTAGGTAGTGTCAAGCTTTCAAATCAGGCTTTTCTAAGTGACCAGGTTATGCTTTTCTGACAGAATTAGACTATGAATACATACATATGTATATATATGTATGTATTCATATGTATGTATGTATATATATGAATATATACATGTATGTATATATTATATATATGAATATATGTATTCTATAGAATATATGTATTCTATTCTGATGGAATTAGACTATGAATACATACATATATGTATATATTCATATGTATAGATGCTCGGCCGTAGGTCATGTCTACTAGTTTTTCTTGATCACCACTGCCTTTTGTTGTACTCAAATACATGTTGTAGCAAACTTTAATGTATATACAGCATCTCTAACTGGAATACAAATTGAAATCTGTGCAAAATGGTATCAGCATATAGCACACGATTACAGAGAATTATCTCTAGGAAGAAATTACTTTTGTTGGTGATTTTTTTCTTATATCTTATCATGAGCACCCTATATAATAATTTCAAATATATTAGTGTAGAAATATTTGAAATATTTTACATATTCTTTATTGTTCATGCTAAAGTTGAACATTTTTCATTTTCCAATAACTTTTGTGTGCCATAATAATTGCTTTATCAATTTTTTTAATTTAGAAAACCATATCATGTTTTTTTCTCTGTTTTTATTTGATGTGTAATGGAAGTTTAGACTTTTTATTTTACAGTGTCATGTGTATTTACAGATAGATAGGTAGATAGATACAGGTATAGATAGATTAGATAGATTCAGGTTAAATAATTTGATAAGGAAATCCATGAATGTGTATTTAACTTACCGTGACTCAATGTATCATTAGTAGATAAAAATGGAAGTCCTCTGAAGACTAGAGATGTTTTGCTGTCCCACCAGGATGCTAGATCACCTTCACCTAAAAAGCCATCCACCTCTACTAAATTTTGTGACCTTGACCCTGCAAAGGAAAACTTATACATTGGTATGTGGCAAATACATAATGTACCTCCCAAACCCCGTCCATAGCATGATCTTCTTAATATTATTTAATTTAAAAGTTAGACTTTTTAGGATAACAATAAAGAGACGAAGAAATCCATAAATTTATCATTAGTCATAGGAGGTCATATGTTTTGGGAGTTTTCTTCAATGATCAATAGCAGAGGTTCTGTAAAGTTCATGGTTCACAGCACCATTAGTATCTCGAAAGTCAATATTTTTTCCCTAGGCCAAAAGATGTACCACATACTTCCATTTATTAAGTGTGTTTGGAATAAAAATCTAAGCCCATGTATTGTCCAGCAGATGTCCCAGTGATATTTAACTAAAATGTTAAATGTCCTATGGAGCCCCTGTAAATTTACTGTGACATCCCAAGCACTCTCTGTGCACAGTTCAGGAACTGCAGAACTAAGGGATTTTTATACTCATTATCTAACTCATTTCCCATCTTAGAAAGAGATGAACACAGATAAATATGAGAGTTTTATACTATTATTTTCAATTAACTATTTACATATTTCTTTCTCTGGATATGGATAATACTAAATGTTTTCCTGTTTTTGAATAGACCGATTTTTATAAATAGTGTGCAGGGGCTCGGCACCCATAGCTCAGTGTGTAGGGTGCTAACCACATACACTGAGGCAGGGGGGTTCTAACCCAGCCTGAGCCTGCAAAACAACAATGACAGCTGCAACAAAAAAATAGCCAGGCATTGTAGCGGGCGCCTGTAGTCCCAGCTACTTGGGAGGCTGAGGCAAAAGAATCACTTAAGCCCAAGAGTTTGAAGTTGCTGTCAGCTGTGACACCACAGCACTCTGCAGAGGGTGACATCTGTCTCAAAGAAAAAAATAGTGTGTGGGTGCAATTATATAGCAAATATTTTTTAACAAAAAAAGATGAAACTATTTTATATTTTCAAAAATTGCCTTAACTGAGAAACATTTTATTAATATGCTTGCTTTGGATAGAAAGTCATTTTCAATATAAAGCCAATATTTTGTATCTATAATATTTTTAGTTTTTTTATTGATTCATGTTAATTGTGGGTACAAAGAATTAGGTTACATTGATTGCATTTGTTAGGTAAAGTCCCTCTAATAATTGTGTCCCAACCCCAAGAGGTATGCCATATACTGTAAACCCCAATCCCCCTCCCTCCTCTCTTTTCCCCACTTTCTCCTTCTCCCATCCCCCAACTTTAATTGATTAGTTTTTCTCTTATATGGCTATGCATTAAATCATCTACTGGCTTCATATTAGAATTGAGTACATTGTATTTTTGCTGCTCAATTGTTATGATGCTTTACTAAGAAGAATGTTTTCCACCTCCTTCCAGGTTAATAAAAAAGATGTGAAGTCTCCATCTTTTTATGACTGAATAGTATTCCAAAAAAAAAATAGTATTCTATGGTATACATATACCATAACTTGCTAATCCATTCCTGGGTTGGTGGGCATTTAGGTTGTTTTCACATTTTGGTGATTGTAAATTGAGCTGGGATAAACAGGCTAGTGCAAAGGTCCTTATGATAAAATGTTCTTTTTTCAGCTAAGGTTGAATTTTGTCTAATAAGTAATGCTGAAGTATTGTCAATACATGTACTAATGTAATTAAAAATGAAAGATTCCACTTTGGGGAATGTTTTTGCACACCATAATGGCAAGGAAAAAAATGAATCTGCTTTCTTTATTCATCTATTCATCTATTTTTAAAACAAAGATACAGCAAATTGACTCAGAATTTCTCTAAAAGCATAGAATAATTTGTAGAATGCGTTCTATTTGTTTATATATAAATGACAATTTCTGACAAACTATTTAACTCTATTGGTCAAGTAATTCATTTTTACAAACGTGAATTTTAGGAATGGAAATAATATCTGAAAATTTGGGATTGGATGAAAGTGAAACATCGAAGAAAGATGATAGCTATGTGGAAAAAGAGGAGCCAAACCAACAATTCTTTACTCCTCAAGATGGAACAGAGACATATACCTTCTTCGAGAAGGTTGTAAATGCAGCTCAGACCTGGTTCAGTCTCTTTGGCTGGGCTGAGGGACCCCATTCTCTATCTATCCCAGAGTCTGCAAGAAGGTAACAGTTAACATGTTTCTCTAAATGCCTTGCATTGTATCAAATCATAAAATATCTATCTCCTGGGATCATCTTAAGTGAAAGGATATTAAATATTTGACAATTTATTCTAAACTGCTAAATTATAAGCAATCCATAAAAAGTCAACATGCAAATATAAAGTCTTTAGTATACATGTCCTTTTTAATTTCTTCTAAAAGTGATGATTTTAGGCAAGCACTGAAAATCTCTGACCTCAGTTTCCTCATATGTGAAATGAGAAAAGGTGAACAATGGGTAGGAAAGCCCCTTGACATTTGAAAGTTTTACAAACTACACATTCCTGTGTAAATAAAGTATCAGCCTGAGATCCAGATTATAGTCAGGTAGACAGGTAGTGACCAGGAAGAGTTTCTTTACATCATCTCCCCTTGACAATGTATTTGCCTCCTTTCTTTCATGTGTTGCATAATAATACAACTCAGCATGTCTAAAATAGTTAAATATCATTGGTTGTATCAAGTCACTTAATTCTGCTGTTAATTTAAACACCGAGTTTAGGCCCTTCCCTTGTTCTGATGTTATTGGTATGGTGAATTCTCATAGCTTTTCTGTCTCCCTTCTCAGCACTGGGGTAACTTGCTGTGACCAGAGGGAAATATAGTACTGATCTCTATAGCTATAAGGGCTATATCAGAATTTCTGCTCTGTATTCAAGAGTGGGCTAGGTTAAGCTAAGTCTGTAGTTTTCCTGTATATTGACTCTATTCATATTTTATTAATAGGATAATCTCAGCTTCAAAGAATGAATTGGCTAATATTTCATCTGTGTTTGTGATGTGGGAAAATTAATGCCCTAGATACCCTGAAAATTTATAGTTTTCATCATAAAACCATCTGGCTCCAGGGAATTTGTTTAGAGAAGTTATTTTGTTATAACTTACCAGTTTTGTTTTGCTCTGATGATTGTTCTATGAAATTTTTTCCTATCTTGATTAAATTTTAATAATTTTTTTCATTTGGGGGAGATTATTGATTGAGCTTTTAAAATTTATTATTCAACAATTATGACTGGTAGTCATTTTGTTTCTTATTCCCTTTATGCTGTTATAGTCCCTTCCTCTTTTACCTTTGCAACTTTATTTTTTCTTGATTATAGGTGTCAGCATTTACTTTTATGTCTCATGTAATTAATAAGTTCTTGGATGGATTTTTCATTTTCATGTTTTCTAAACCATGTGATGCTGATTATGTCTTTATAACTTACTTATCTTTAAACACGAACAGCATGCTTATTTCTTTCTAGATCTATAAATTTATCTCTTTATTCCACTTCGGCTACATCCCAGAATTTTGGTTAATAAGCAAAAATTTCTCATTTTTGTTGTTTTTATAGAGCTTGAGATATTAGTTTTCACTTTTTATATGCATTTAACTATAATACTGATTGCTACTCTGTTGTGTATTATTGCATACACGTATAATTATTTCTTTGAAAATTCCCATTAATTTTTGAGCATTTACTTATGTAATCTCATATTTTTGTTAGCATAAATAAGGCATAGATGCTTATAAATGTTTAAAAATGGGGGGGCGGAGCCAAGATGGCGAACTGCAGCCAGCTTTTTACAGAAGCTCCCGTCCAGAAGGAGGCTGAAAGGACAGAACCTTAGCAAATTAGCTGATGGTTTGGAGCAGAGACAAGAGAGAAGATTGAAGAGTGCACTTCAACCTTCCTGAGGCGAG